AGTGAAGTGATGTTATGATTGTAGGATTGCTCTTTGTTATTGACATTCCTTCATACATGCTTATTTAGCTAGCATGCTTTGGTTGATCTCATTTGCTTTTAATGTATTCTGATTACTTTCTCCATGCTTCAAATTCTTTGTTTGTTTTCTTATCATTCTCTCTGTCTTTACCTTCCTTTGCAGACTTCTAAGAAGAAGAAAAGCAGTGATCTCAAATATAACGTATTGGGATGGGTGATCCTTGCTGTAGGGATTGTTGCTTGGGTAGGATTTGCAAAATCTCATGTGCCACCTCCTCCACCAGCTCGATAAGTGGGTGCACCTCGTGCATTTTGGAGATACAATCAGTCTATAGACTCTGTAGGTGATGATTTTTTTTTTTTTTTTGATCAGCCAAAGAAAAATTAATTTAATGAAGCACAAGGGGTGCTCCTGCCCTTATACAAAAATAGGAGACCAGAACAGAGGAGAGCCACTCTCCAAATAACCAGAAAAAACATCTAAACAACCACCACTTAAACCATAAAGCGTCAGGTGCCCAAAACAAAACATTAAAGAGAAATCTGCTCCGCCCATAACTCTGTAGGTGATGATTGAAGAAAACTGAAAAATTTATGTCATTCGCCATATGTTGGTTATTTTATTTTTTTTTATCATTATCATTATTATTATTATTATTTTTCTTCCCTATGGCAAAGGATAAATAAGTTACAGTTATAGTTTCATATGAAACCATGATTCTATATTTTTTATTTTTTTTAGTACATCTAAATAGGTTATACAAGAGAAAATACTTATCTCTTTTTTTTAAATCCCTTGTTATCCGACTCAAAATTCGAATTTAAAATCTCCAACTTAAAATCTTAAATTCTTAACCATTGGGTTAGCCATTGGTGTTCTATAATTTTAATATTGTTAAGAAACTTTCTTGTAGACTGGATACATTGCAATAATGTCGAATTATAGAAAATTCACCCAGAATCAATTTGATTTCAGGTGTTCTCAAGATAATTGACTAATTGTATCTGAATCTATATAGACAGACATCATGCAGACTGATGGTATTAATTTGTTGAATCGAAGCTATATATCTGCAGATTTCTTGCAAGAGCTGTTGTTCATATTTCCTTTGTTGGATAACTTGGTTAAAGTGAATGTGTGTAGTTAGTGTTACGGAAAGAATAATTGTGAGTGGATAATGGCATATGCTCTTTCATATATATACTGCTACGCTATCTCCTGTGTCAGGTGGCATGTTTAGGGGACGTTGCGTTGGGTGATGGGCTGAATGGCAGATTGCTTGTTGGGAAAATGTTGTCAAATGAAAATATGATTCATTCTGGAAAGAAATTTTTTTTTTAAAAGAAAAAATTAAAATTTATTTTTAGGTTTTTCTAATAGGCATAATTTATTAGTGCAATTATTGAATATTTTTAATACCAATATTAAAAAATAAAAATTAACTTTTATTTAAATAACTATCAAATTAAAATGATCCGTAGGGCATTAAGATGATGAATTACCTTGAATGGTTGGAGAGGAACATGATGGATCAACTCTACATGTAGACGATCTTATCCCTTCAGCAACTTAAACCCTTTGCTTCTAGAGAAACTACTTGCAGCACTTTTAGTCCTTT